CCCAGCAATGGTGTGCCCTTCCTGCCCGCTGTGTAAGTATAATGAAGAGTTCCCATCCATGATGGCCTCACACGTTGCTCTGTGCCAGGCACCTGATAACTTTAGTCTTAAGTTTTCAGATCAATTTTTGGAGGAAGTCTTATTCCCATTTTAATACGTGGAAATGGGAATATCAAACTTGGTGAAAAAACTGGGATTTATCTTTATTTTTCCAGTTCCCAAAATGTGTTACCTTTTCACTCCATGAAGTGGCTGCAAGATAAATAGGTGCAGGAAAGAAACGGCTCATTTGCATGCATCCTCTCTAGCTAACAGTGAAGCTACACTCACATACCGCTGACACAGAATGTAACTGTCTGGCACCTTTGGCCACGGAACCTAACAAAACATGTAAGAAATAAAGAGTTTATCTGTAGTACAAGGACATGCCTCCAAAATAATTACACTGTGGGCTCTCCAGGCAATAGGAATGTTAAGAAAGAACGTAAACTAAAACCATTACGCATAAAGTTGAGATTGTATCGTTGGCATTATTTTTGTTGCAAGTATTCGAAGACCATGCAGCTTGAGCCAATTCATAATAGCTTAAAGGAACATCAAAGCCTAAGCCTGAAGGTTTGTGGTTGATGTTTGCTCAGTGTACTGGCTCATCCCTCTTAACTGTAGATGGCTGCCACGTACCAGACATGAAGTTTCAGATTTAAGACAGGAGTAAAGAAAGGAGCTGAACGGCAGATATTTCCTGCCTCCTTATATACATACATACAGCATTAAAGTCACACAGCACTAATGAGACATAAGAAGGAGCAGACAGAAATATTTTGAGAAATTATGCAAAAGAAATGATGGGGAAAAAAAAGAATTAAAAAAATTTAATTATATAGCTCGGCATGGTGGCACAAGCCTTTAATCATAACACTCCAGGTGGCAGAGGCAGGAGGATCTCTGTGAGTTCGAGGCCAGCCTGGTCTACAAAGTGAGTCCAAAACAGCCAAGGCTACATAGAGAAACATGTCTTACAAAACCAAAACCCAAACCCAAACCAAACCAAACCAAAAAACTATAAAGGCAATATATCTGTAAGTGAAGAGGAGATGCTCAACAGGAGAGATTTAAAATAATTACTGAATTTTCTCTTGTTCAGGAAAAGAGTAAAAAACCTAGATGGAGGGCAGGGAGGAAGAACTTCACAGGGATGAAGATTCATTCTTTCCCAGAGCCCCCAAAGAAAAGGGGAGAGATGAATGAAGCCAAAATAAAGCCCGGAGTGGAGATGAAAGACATCCAGCATGATCAGTTTTCTGAGAAAAGAACATGAAAACAAGTAAGAAAAAAATTTGAAATAACATGGTGAGCAAATCACTTTCTGATTTTAAAATATGGCTGTATCCTATAAGGCAGGAGTAAAGCATGTTGGCTTGGGAGGATAGAGAGAGAGCAAAGGAGGCGAGTCCTAGAATAGGGGTGAACAGTGTGTGGAGAAGACAGCGGTGGTGTGCTTACCTCCTAAGGTCGGGAGGAAGAGCAGAAATGGATGTGGGCCAGGTCTGGCGCTTGGTGAGGAGGTTGAAAGCGGAAGTTATGCTTGTTCACAAGGTTACACTGACTTAGGAGATATACTCACCGTAAATAGAGCCTACATGACAACTCAGAAAGCCACTTAGCCTTGCAGGGGCGTTCAGTAATTTTTGGAGACATTTATTCAGCATTTCTGTCATATCGACATTTGTTCCTAAATGTCTGGAAAGAACCGAAGAATCTCTAGTTCAGTGTGGTTACTTTATCTTACACTCTGTTTTGCTATTCTAGAAACTTTGTTTTCTATTTGTAAAAATGCTTAGGTTCGATAATAAGACCACTATGTGGTATCCTTCTTATATTATAATGGTAAAACTGACAGATATTTACCCTGGCATCTTTTTGGGAAAAGTATGTGTGAACCGAAGGGGGATGGTCAGCCCAGAGCAGTGAGGGAGGTAGTTGGGGCCTGGTAACGGCTGTCAAGTATGTTGAGAGTCTATGAGCATTCTTATCCAGGTGAATTAAGTTCTCATTAAATCTTGGCTGTATGTAGAGGAATTTTAATGTAGAACATGGCTGTTCTGGCAGAGATCACATCCAAAGACCATCTAGGTCTGTGTGATCCAGCTACAATACAAACATGCCTTTAATCCAGGAGACAGAGGCAAGAAGATCTAAGTTCAAGGCCAGCCTGGTATAGAGCAAGTTTTAGGTCCAGGCATGGTGGTACATGCCTTTAATTCCAAACGATGAAGATAAACTTAGTTTGCAGAAGAAAGCACCCATGTTTGAAAGTGATGTCTAATTGAGGGACAGAAACCGTGATGAATCAGAGAAAGGCTTGACAGAATAGGATATGCCCAACTCTCATGAGAACAGAATGGAATGTGAAGCCATTTAAGGGGCAATGAGAGAGAGGAGGCAGTTTTACCAGGACTGTAATAGAGAGATGGGTTGCAGAGAGAGAACTCAGGTGAAGACAGAAGGAGCCAGAAAACAAGAAGGAGCCAGAAGAGTAGAGCAGATTGCTGGAGACAGTTTGAGGCCAAGCAGAGAAATTCAGGGACTGAGAGAAAACCCAGACTGAATAAGTCAGCTGGGAGAGGAGTCTGAGCCAGAACACCTGAGTTGAACCAGCCAGCTCAGAGTTCAGAAAGAACAAAAAAGAGTGAGCTTATTCTGCAGTAAGTCTCTGGGGCTGAAAACATTCGAGGCCTAGGTTATGTATGGAGGTTAGAAGCTTCCAGGATTAGGCCTAGAAGATCATTATCTTCTGAGACAACAATTGAAGCAGGAGAATAAAAGTTCCTTTTACAGCTGAAAGTTCTGTGATCATAGGTGTAAATCACTACAAATAGCCTTAACTGACACACACACGTACATATTCCTCATCTATCCTCAGCTCTTGTCCTCTTCTGCCCTGCTATGGTTTTCTTCCTTTTTCCTAATAGGACTTTTTTCTTACCTAACATGCCTTTCTAACCTTACAGACTAACATTTACAAATGTGTGTATGTATGTAAGGCCTAGGCATGCCACAGCACACACATGGAGGTCAGAAGGCAACTGTGTGGAGTTGGTTCTCTTCTTTCATGTCCATGGGCTCTGGGAATTGGACTGAGGTCATTGGGCTTTCCTGAAAATATTTTTCCCCACTGAGCTATCTCACCATCCACTGGGGTCATGTTTTGAGATGTGGTGTTCATATTCCACTTCCAGTCTTAGTAGCACTTCTCTAACGATTTACTTCACATAGAACACACATAAAGAGTAGAGGTGATCTCCACTTTGCTTTGCCATTGTTTCTTCTTGTTACTCAATATTGTTACTTGAGATTACCAACTAACTAGGACTGTTGTAAGGAAATATGCGGTACAAGTTCAGAACCCCCTCTACAGCGGACTCTGGAAGCAAATCACTAGGGTTCAATTTCTGGATATATCTTTTACCATTCATATTACCTTGGGGAGGCTGTATAATTCCCTACATCCCATTTTCACTTATACATAAAATAAGAAAATAGTATTTACATTTCAACAAAGTTCTGAGACTAAAATGAGATAACACACAGGCCTGACACATAGGACCTCAATAAATGTTAGTAAGCTTTTGAGATTAGGGTCCTGAGCCCTCAACTCCAGGGCCAAAGCAGGGGTAAGGTATCTGATCCTTAGAAAATGAATCATGCCTCTCATGGCATCCTCTGCTTGTGTTTTGACCAACTTGACATTTCAGAGACGTCACCAGCAACTTTAATACTGTTTTACATTGCCAATGTTTTCATTAAACCTAAGAGGCAGGCGCAACTGTATTCCCACTTTAGGACAGCGAACCAAAGCACAGCAGCAGACAGCCCAGAAATTTCTTCTATTCACTTGTTCCGCCACCTCATTTCTTACCACACATCATTTAGGACATTATTTTACAGTGTCAGAAATTAAAATCTTGTTTTCTTCTAAGATTTAAGTGTGTTTCCATTTTCTTAGTGAGATGTGAATCTACTCATACATACATGTGGTTATTTTTTAGCAACTAAGGAAAACCAAACACAAAGCAGGCATCACTCAGCATGCTTGTAGTTATACTTTTCATTTCTCAATTTTTAGAAGCGGGCTACCCATTTTGTTTCAAAAACTCCAGATGAAAACAATTTTATAAAGGCACCTACGAACGTTATGCCTATTACATTAAGCATTATTTATTAAGCCCATAGCTACTCACACACTGTACTTGTGCACAGTTTACAGCAGTAAAATGAACATTGCTGGGGCTTTTCAGAAAGTTCAGGAGCCTTTCAGAAGACACACCCGTGGGAACGTGAAACCAAAACAGGAGCCACATTGTTATACATCGTTATTAAGTCTCCGTACCTTACAAGAATAAGTTTGTTTCCTAAACTCAATGTAGCCTAAAAACCATGTTTTTCAATTTATGTCGAACTTGTGACCTCATGATGTATACCCACCCTTTCCTTTGCTAAACTCCTGAGTCTGTGATACTCGATTGGCCTTTTGCCTTACGAAAACGTGTCTTTCCAGAGACCTTGATGACTCCCCTTCTGCGTGATGTCTTCTTGCACTTATCTATCCCCCCCCCCCCCCACCCAACCCCAGGCAGTCTTGAGCCAGGAGCTCCCCACTCTTCTGTCCGGGTGCTAACAGGCCACTATCTCGACAGCAGTTTTCTGTCAGCTCTAATCCTTTCCCATAAAAGCGACCTGGAAGGCCCGTGAGGGGCTGCTCTCTCAAATACCGGCTTCGGGAGAGGCAGTGGGCTGGCCAGTTCCTAGTGCAGCTTGCTTTAATCAGACAGTCGTGGAATTGTTCCTCTCCGCTTGGGTCTGACAGAAACCGTAGCCGTGAAGGACAAAGACATCTCCAGCTTTCCTCCTTCCTTAACCTGAAAAGAAAAAGAAGGAGACACCTGTCCGGTTTGCGCATTTTTTGCACTTGTCTCCAGCAGATGAGAATTTCGCAGAGGGCAGGCCGGGGCTCCGGATTGGCTGGGAACAGAGCTCGCCCAGGAGCTCCACGTTGCCCAGGGCGCAGCCTCCCTCGCTCGCGGCCCGCAAGTCCCCGCCGGCGCCGCTGGGCGTGTGCGCACGCGCGGCCCGGGCGCCCGGCTTGCTGGCCGTGCCCGCAGAGCGCATGGGCGGACTAACTGTACGTCGGTTTGTCCCGACGGGAGGGCAGCGTGGGCGCCATCTTCCTCGGGGCCGACGAGGAGCGTCCGGCCCCCGCGGGTGTGGTGTGTGCTCGCTGCCCGGGGCGAAGCGCCCGTCCTCGGGGCGCCGGGCGGGGCGGCGGGGACGCGCAGGACGGGCGGGCGGGGCTCCGGGCGCGGCGGCGGCGGCGGCGGCGCGCTCCCTGACCGGCCCCTCCCGGCAGCCCGCGAGTGCGGGTGTGCGGAGACCCCGGAGCGTCGCTTAGGTATTCCTTCTCCCTGCGGGGCCGAGTCGGGCGCGGAGAGGCCCCGCAGGCCCGCTGGGCTCGGGCTGCAGGGCCGCAGGGCGGTTCCGTGAGGTCGGGCGCCCGCTGCGCTCGGGCGAGCTGGGGTGGAGCGTTTGCCCCGGGAACCCGGAGCGCCGAGGCACGTTGGTTGGGCGGTCCTGGTTAACGTGAAAGCCGTTGGGGCTCCAAGCCTGGGGACAGCGTCAGACCCGACCTAGCAAGGTGGCCTGGCGCTAAAAGAAGGAGGCCCCGATCCTCGGGAGCGTCGGGCTGTGGAAGCGATGTCTTCGGAGGATTCCCCATTGATAATGGTGGATGACGTGGGAAGTGTGTGTCCTGGAATCGTCCTCACTTAACAGTTCCTGACCCGGGACTATGGCTCTGTCTGGTCATGCATTTTTTTTTTTTTTTTTTATTTTAAACATCCACATTATTAAAGGCAGATTTTTATCATAGAGTATTTGTGGACTGGGGTAGATTTTCTGCAAGGAAAGTTTATGTTTAGGATTTTAGTCGTTCTTCATTCTGGGCAGTAAGGTATAGTTGGAGGCATATAGTAAAACTTTTGTCTCTCGTACAAAAAGGTCTGGACTCTGTTAGTTAAAATCAAGTGGGTCAGAAATTATAGCTCTTAAGTTTAGTCTCCCGTTTTTCTCTGACTCTTGATTAAAAGATTCCCCACTTAAGACCATTTAATTAAGTTGATGATTTAAATGTAAGGATGGTGTGGTAAAATTAGCAAGGTTGTTTAAAATGTGTTTATCATTAGATGGATTTTTAGGGATACCCTCTCTTCTCATAGCAGCTCATTGTGGCATGACATCAACACTGTCGCTAATCGCTTTGGTATTCGTAACTGAAACAGGGCTATTTTGTGTTTTGCTCTTGTGCAGTGGCATTCAAAACTAGATAAGGACAATTTGTGTTTTGACTTTGGTGCAATCTAATGCGTCAGTAGACTTTCTGGAGATGGTAAGGAAAATAGTGTATTGTGAGAAATACTTCGGGTCTCTCAGCTGTTCAAGATGTTACCATCTGGGTCAATGACACCTTACCCTACTACGGCAAGGGCACAAAAGTTTAAACATTAACTTTTATTTGGCAAATTAGAACAAACTTTAGGTCTCTTGGTTTGGAATTCGATAGCTTTGTGCCTGTGAAACTGATTAATGAAGGTGGTTTTAGTTAAGATGGGTAAGACAAAGTGGTTTTTAAGCTAGGATGTGTTGTGAGGACATTTTGAACTTGGTATGTACTTATTTCCTTCAGTGTCTCTGAATTCATGTACCTGTAGCTGAATTTATATCCGCAGGGTAAATCCCATCTGAAGTTGAAAAAGTTTAAGGACAGACAACTTAAAAAGCAGACAAGTCGGCTTATATAGGAGTCTTGGAATTTGCATGTGGACAAGTGTTTCAAGGAGCCATTTATAGTTTTTGTTCAAGTGCTGGGTATGAATACTGATTTGTTGAAATTAGGTTTACAGGTTTTTTTTTTTCTTTTGTACTACAAAGACATTTTAAGAATAAATTTCAAGAAATTTCAAATGTAGTGTGTACCATTATTTTTATTAATGCCTAGTTTGAAAAGTTTAATCTGTAGACCCCTCCCCCTTTAAAAGACAACCTTTTAAACTTGGAGGCTCTTTGTGAATAATGGCACTTAAGTTTAAGGGAACAAACAATTATTTACACGTTAATATTTTAACGATTAACTTGGCACATTAAAAAGTTATTTGATAAATATTATTTGGTGGTTTGTCAAAATGGTACAAGCAAGTTTCTGTAAACAATATTGAGTTTATTTTCCCTACGAATGAATATTGGCAATCCTAATATTCCAAATTAGTAAGTCTTTATATTGTTTACTCTTGTATTATATTACTTTTATTTCAATACAATATATTATTATCATATTATTAAGGTTTTCATAATGTAAGTGTGAAGGATAGTTTTTTTTTTGAAGTGCCTATTGGCATAATAAAATCACAAAGTTGGTACAGCTTTTGTGTGTGAGTTTGCTTGGGGTGAATTGTCGTAGTCTGCTTACTGTTGTAAACATTGGATAAGGAGTAGCATTGTTCTTTCTCTTTTGTATTTTAGGGGTACTGTAGTATTTGCCTTAATTATGTCACCGTAGCATTTGCTTCTGCAGTTGTAATATGTACCCAGTGGCAGTCACTACCTGGATTAATTACATAAAAACTGATAGTCTTGAGCTTTGGTATTTTTACTATATCATTTTGAAGTGTTGCTTGCTTGCTTGGCTTCTTGATATGTTTGAAGGTTGGAGAGTGGCAAGGGACTTGGGTGTAAGTGTGAGCTACGTGTTTGGATTGCCAATGGGTGAAGTGATGCGAGGCCTTTAAAGCTACTTGAGTTTCAAATTGATGTTGTACTAATAAAACAGTTTTTAAGGACATGTACAACTTCTATTTACCAGCATGTGATAAGCTTGGACTTACTTGCTAGAATTCAGCGTTCATATATTTATACACATGTAACCATCACTACACTCAAAATATCTAATATTTCCTTCATGGCGTTTTCATACTAATTCCAATCAAGTAATATAATTTTCAGATCACATTTTAATTTTTTAATACTTCTCAGCTGTGTGCTCTGGTTTTATATTTCCTTATTTTTGCAAAAGTATAATTAATTTCTTTTTGGGATAAAAAGACCTTTTTGTCATGCCCGTAATTGTGATGCCTTTTATTCTTTCACTTCAAAAGTTAATTCTGAAATGGCTGTCAGGCATTGAGATCGAGTAGAGTTCACAGATTAATTATATTTCATTTTCTTTCCACAGTTAAGTTGCTTTTACAGAATTAACAGGTCTCCAAGAAATAAAAGGAAAAGGTAAGACCTCGGAGTTTAAGGCTTTGCGCAGACGTGTGACAAAATCAGACAGACAGTGCATCGTTGTCCTGGTTGTTCTGTTCTTGCCCGGCCAGTGCTACAGTGCTAGGCAGCTGCACATGAGCAGAGACTAGAAGCTGACCATGGATGGCTTTTCTGAATATACAAACCTACTGTGGTCAGTAAAGACAGAGCAGTGGGAGTCACGTTTCTAAAGCGTCTGAAAGCAGTTTTGTCTTGTTGTGAAGCAGCATTTGGCAGACTTAAAACGGAAGGTTTGATTTTTTTTTTTTTTTTGGTGTTCCTATTGAATAGGGTAGGTGATGTGAAATGTTCCTTTAAGGCAGTTGGTTTATTTGTATGTTTAGATAGGAGAAAGTGTATTTGTTTTCTTTAAGAATTAGATAAGATCAGGTTTTTCTGTGTGTGAACTTGTTTCCATTTTTTAATGCTAAAGGAGGCAGGAACCAGGTAGTTATTAAGCTAGTGTGTGCTAAGGTACTGCAAAAATAAGACTTGCTATTCTGTGTGCCTTTTTGTCTGCAGGTCATTATTGCTGTGGTTTGAGTTCAGCATGGCTGTAGTCATCCGTTTACTGGGGCTTCCTTTTATTGCGGGGCCTTTGGAGATCCGTCACTTCTTCAAGGGATTGAGTATTCCTGATGGAGGAGTGCATATAATTGGAGGGAAAGTGGGGGAGGCTTTTGTCATGTTCGCAACAGATGAAGATGCAAGGCGTGCCATAAGTCGCTCAGGAGGGTTTATCAAGGACTCTTCTGTAGAGCTTTTTCTTAGTAGCAAGGTAGAAATGCGGAAGACGATAGAAATGCAAAGAACTGCTCATGTAGGAAGAGGGCGCCTGCGATCTGGGGCACCAGGGGTTGGCAGCCTTTACCATTGTATTGGTGCTTTGAAGGAAGAGGGAAGTTATTCTGGATATGGCTCTTCAGTTAACCAAGATTCTGGGTTTCATGCTAATGGTACAGGACTTGATTTAAGGCCAAGAAAGACCAGGCCATCAAAGGCTGAGAATCCTTACTTGTTTCTACGAGGTTTGCCTTACTTAGTAAATGAAGATGATGTACGTGTCTTTTTCTCTGGTTTGTGTGTGGATGGAGTAATTTTCTTGAAACATCATGATGGCCGAAATAATGGTGATGCGATAGTAAAATTTGCTTCATGTATTGATGCTTCAGGAGGTCTTAAGTGCCATAGAAGTTTCATGGGTTCAAGATTTATAGAAGTCATGCAGGGCTCAGAAGAACAGTGGATTGAACTTGGTGGTAATGCAGCCAAGGGTGGTGACATTCCTCGAATGAGAGCTGAAGAACATTCTCCTTCAAGAAGGATCAGTGATAGACAGCTGCGGAAACGGTCTCATTCAAAATCTCCTAGAACACGCTCTCGCTCTCCTCTTGGATTTTATGTTCACTTAAAAAATCTGTCTTTAAATATTAACAAAAGAGATTTAAGAAATCTTTTTAGAGATACTGACCTGACTAATGAACAGATTAAATTTTTATATAAAGATGAACGAAGAACACGGTATGCCTTTGTGATGTTTAAAAATCTAAAAGACTATAATACTGCCCTGGGTTTGCATAAGACTGTTTTACAGTATCGTCCCGTTCTTATTGATCCAATTTCTAGAAAGGAAATGATGAAATTCATCGAATGCTATGAAAAGAAGAGACCAGGGTCTGTAGAGAGAGAGAGGCCTGGGCGTGTTTCACAGAAGTACACTGAAGAAGGCTACTCTGGTCGGAAGCTGTGCATATATATACGAAATTTTCCATTCGATGTTACAAAAGCTGAAGTACAGAAGTTCTTTGCAGACTTCTCTCTTGTTGAGGATGACATTTATTTGCTCTATGATGACAAGGGAGTTGGTTTGGGAGAAGCACTGGTGAGATTTAAATCAGAAGAACAGGCCATGAAAGCCGAACGTTTAAACCGACGAAGATTCTTAGGTACGGAGGTGTTGTTAAGACTTATATCTGAGGTACAAATGCAGGAGTTTGGTGTGAAGTTTTCCTTCATGTCCAATGAGAAGACACAAGCCCGTTCCCAGTCACATGATGGAGATGACCATTCCCATCTGTTTGACTTAAAAGATCCACAGGTATGTTCGTTTAGCCCATCTGAAAGCGTTCATTATCAGCCAAAAGATGTAAAGAAAATGGGTAATTTCAAGCATCCCCTCAAGTATTTCCAGCAGCCTGACAGACACCCTCCAGCAGACTTCCGCCTCTCCCCTGAGGACTTCAGGGTCCCCCCAGAAGACTACAGGCTCCCCCGGGGGGAACACGGCAGGCGCTCCAGGGAGGAAGACTGGAGACGGTCTCTTGAGGATTGGAAATGGCCACCGGAAGATGATTTCAGGCAGTCGTATGAAAAAGATCTTAGGCATCCACCAGAGGAAGATTTCAGTTGCCCATGGGAGGAGGACTTCAGACGACCACCACAGGAGCACTTCAGGAGGTCACCCCAGGAGCACCTCAGAAGGCCACCCCAGGAACATTTCAGGCATTCCCGAGAAGATCATTTCAGGCATATGGCGGATGGAGACTTGAGGCACTGTTCTGAGGAGGACTTTAGGGCCTCCCAAGAAGATCTGAGAGGTCCCACTGATGAGGACTTGAGGCAGCTTTCTGTGGGAGACCTCAGGGAGGCCCCAGAGGAGGACCTTAGACGTCCTGATCATCTTAGACCTCCCGGAGAGGATCTTTGGACCACATCTGATTTCAGGGGTCACCATCCTTTTGTGAACTTTGGTCACCTAGAAGGTGGAAAGTTTGATCTTGGAAAGTATAATATGGGAAGTTTTCCTGAGGGAAAATTTATGCCTGATCTAAAATTAAATTGTGGTTCAGGTAGAATAACTCCTATTAAGATCATGAATCTTCCATTTAAAGCTAATGCTAATGAAATTTTAGACTTTTTCCATGGTTATAAAGTCATACCTGATTCAGTTTCAATACAGTATAATGAGCAAGGATTACCTATAGGAGAAGCCATTGTTGCTATGATAAATTATAATGAAGCTATAGCTGCTATTAAAGATCTAAATGGTAGACCAGTTGGTCCCCGCAAAGTTAAGCTCAGTTTGCTTTAGAGAGCCTTTGTAAGTCCATAGTTTTCCCCACAGTATTGATGCCATGAAGATACAGTTTTTATTATGTTTAATTATCTAATTAAAAATTTTAATTTTGACCTGTGACTAGGAAAAATGTGTTATATAAATCTGGGTTTTCTCTAGCTTACAAATGAACATTCTTTCCCCCCCCCCCCCCAATTTAAAATCATATATGCTGTTTTCTTTGATAGGGGAGAGAACAAGTTTCCTGAATTATTTACTTTCATTGATGTTATGGATAAACTTCAGAGACTTGTAAAAAGTGGAGTTATGTTTGGGAAAGTAAATTATCTTTGATTGTTTTTTTTTTTAATATCTTTTACTCAGACTGTATAAGGAAATGATGGATGACTGATCCAGGTTTGCCACAGTTATTGCTGCTTGCCTGCAGAATTCCAATTTGTCTGAGATATTGTGTTAAGATATATATACCCTATATAGCTCAGAAAAATAAACATACTGTGTGAACTTGAAATTTACTTATGTGAAAGGCTTAGGAAGTTCTCAAAATTTGTGTTCATAACATTGAAAAGTTTTATAAAAATAAAATATCAACTGAAATACTTATTAACTTGTATTTGTATGACAAGAACAAGGACAAAAGAATTGCCACTGGGTATTATAGAGTTCCCCAACAGCTATAAAAGTATGTGGTGAGTAGGACCAAATAATCTGTAACTAATGTACACGTCTGTGATTTCTTCAACATCATTTTGACGCTAAGCACTGGGACCTAGTGCTTATCCTAACTACATTGCTAGGACGACACAAAATGTTCCGAAGACTCGAAAGTAATTTGTTCAGGGCAAAAGGGGGAACTCTGAGGTTGGGAAGAATATGTTAACAGGATATAGTTTTTCTCAGAAGAATTTACTGGTGATTCATTATATTAGGTTCTCTTTTTAGCTTCAAAAGTTTATATTTACTCAGACTCACAGATACAAGATTTCTGAGTGGGTTTTGACTTCTTTGGCACTCAATATTTATATTTTGCTTGTACTCAGATTTTCCTTATCTACAAAAGCAGAAGTAGCTGACAACGGGTATCTTCATCAGGCACTAAGCACTTTATATGTATGACCTCAGTGTTTATCATCGTTTACAAAGAAGAAGTAAAGTTTAGAGAGGTTAAACGAGTCGCCTGAAGTCAGACTAAGTTAGGCAACCCATTTCAACCCCAGAAGACCCCTGATTCCACCCTGTCCATAAATATTTTTGCTGTGTCACTTTCTTACATGGTATTTTTAACTTTAGTAAGACAATGATAAAAATATTTTCAGAAGTAAATATTTTCTTGTTTGCTTTTAAAGTTGCATTTAAAGAATGATAAAAGTGTGATTCTTAAACATTGTTAGCTAAATTAAAGAGAAGGTAACTTAAGAGTTTATAGTTTCTCTTGGGATACATTATATATATTGGTTTCCAATTCAAAATTAATTTTCTCTAATTTGATTTATGATTTTATAGTTGATAGGAAACAAAGTTTTACCCACTTCCTTCATCCAGACATTTCCCACACTGAGTAATTGTGAATAAACTTATTTTTTCATATGGTGTATCATTTAGCTACTGCAGAAGAATAGTTTCCGTATCCTGAATTAACATTCAGTGATTTAAAGAATTTGAAAGCCTGCATAAGTTGTTTTTAATAGTTAATATCCTACTTAATAGGATAAATTGGTAAATTTTGTTAAACAAATACATTGTAAGTCTTAAAACTAGTAAGCTTTTACAGATGGAATGAAAAATTTGGAATATCTAAGTCAAGCACAATGATACAACTGATATAAAGCTTAAAGTGAAAGATTATTGACTATGTAATTGTCTCTCAAACTGGGCTAGGGTGGGATAGTGATGGAGGGAGACAGCGGCTAAACAAAGGCATTATTGTCTTTTCATTTTCTTAATATTTTATATGTGTGGGTGCTTTGCATGTATGTATGTATGTGTGTGCACATGTCTGCAGAGCTAAGAGGGTGCATCAGTCCTGAACTGGAGCTACAGACAGTTGTGAGCCGCCTTGTGGGTGTTGGGAGTGAACCTCTCCAAGACCAGTCTGTGCTAACTGTGGAGCCATTTCTCCAGTCCTGTGCCTTGATTTTCAAATTAAGTGGCTATTTTATTTCCTCTCAGTTGTCAAGTTTTAATATATGTTGATTGGTGTGTTTGTATGGAGGCTGGAGGTTGATGATGTTGTCCTGCTCGAACACTACACTTTTTGTGAGGCAAGGTCTCTTGCTAAAGCTGGAATTGACCAGTTTGCTTGATTGACTGCCCTGCATTTCCCTTCCCTCCCCGGTTCTTCCTAGATTTGCCTCCTCAGCACTTTCAGGTCCTTCTGGATGTGCAGCAAACACTGAGGCATCTCCCTCAGCTCCAGGCTTAATATTTTGTAAACTTCATTATAAAAATTTATTATAGAAAACTTGTTCCCTAAACAGTAGTATGGGAGTTATTTGTCCACATCTCCTTCTAATACTGTCTTGAGTACGTGTTGATTTAACTTCAAGTGGCCATGATAGTAGCTGCTATTTATATCATGGAACTTAGTAAACGCAGCAAGTCAACAGTATTCCCTTTGTCAGCTGCAGGGAACTGTGCACTGCAGTCCACACACATGAAAGAATAGTCCTAAAGCCTCGTGTTTTCATTGACCAGTCTAGCGACAGTAGGTACACTGGGACTGTATGTATTCTTTTAACAAGACACCCAGTGTTAATTTGCATTCAAGTCATACTTTGTTTTTCTATTCAGAATGAATATAAAAATAGTAAAACATATCTAGAAAGTAAAGTTAATACATAAAACCATCCTAGAAGTGTTCATCTACCAAGCAGCTGAGAATATTTGCAGTGGATTTTGATCCGATTACCTGTTAAGCAGTGACTTTGCCACTTTTATTTTTATATTACATATTAGCTGTTGATGTTCATAACTATCAATTATGATAATTTTTGTTAAGGATGCTAAACTATTGGCTATTTAACATGGGTTCTTGGCCTGTTTTTTAGTGGTGTGGGATTGTACCCAGGGCTTTGATCATGCAAGGCCAGCGCTAACCCCTAGCTCGGTCTTCATTTCCTTAAATGTAGTTACGTCCTAACTGGGTGTGTAAATTGTCATACAATTGCCTTGTTTTTGCCTCACTGCCCACAAAATGTGATATGCCTTTTGTTTTTATAAACCTACATGTATGTAAATAATCTCAATGTTCATTGTTTCTTTGACAGTCTCATGTAGAACATGCTGGTCTTGAACTCACTGAAGCCAAGGATGACCTTGAACAACTGATCCTCTTGCCTCTTACCTTCCCAGCAGTGGGAAAACAGGCTTGTACCACCACACTTAGCTCTTCTTCTTAGGAACAGCCCCTCTCCAGAACTGTTTGCTGCATTAGGCTGTAACTTGACAGATGATGAGGCAGGTGATATTTGAGAGAAGTCACTATTTATTGAGCAGCAATAGAAATACCACAGCTGTTTTCACCTGTCAACTCTAACATCAAATTTGAATACTGACCAGGAATATACGATTTTAGTAATAACCTTACTTCCTTAAGACCTACTTAGGGCTTTAAAGCATTTGGAGTATTTCATCTTAAAAAGTACCAAAGTAATTTTAAAGGTATGCTCAAGAAGCAACATTTTGTTAAAAACAAATTTTTCTTTTTTGATAAGTGCTTTGAGATTCCTAAAAGCATAATTCTTTACCAAAAGAAAAAGAAATGTCAGCTATAACTAAAGTTTTGTAGTTTTAGGAATAAAGTATGTACATATTTATTGACTGTGGTGGTCTGATAAGACAGGAAAGTGTGTTTAATGCTTTATGGCATTCTATGATGAGGCAACATTTCTAACAAATTACCTGCCTTCCAAGTATTAATGATTTATACAAGTAGAATGTACAGGGTTTTAGAATGAGTTTTGTTTAAAACCATGGCCTTTTTAAATTAGAAATTTAATCGTGTGCATTATAAAACCTGATATCAATATCCCATACCTTTATTTAGTTACATTCTTGTTGAAAACACTAAATTTACATACCAAATGATGAAACAATAAGGTTATAATAAAAGTAAAAGAAGAGATCTTTTTACTTAAGGCATTAAGGCATAGAATTATTAACTGACCTCTTCTGGTAGTCAAAACCCTAGACTTTTAACCTAAAATAAACTAAAAGGAATTATTAAATCTTTTGTTACCTACTTTTGATACCTTTAATATATATGTATATGTATACATGTTTATGTATAGCATTAAATCTGAAATGCTTTGAAATCCATAATCTTTTTTTAATAGAACATATTCAGAAAAATCATACACTACTATAGGTAGGACACTGAAACACTGGTATGTAATTAAAATTTTTTTTCTTGTCAGCATAATTTCCTCTAATCCCCCTCCCCCATTTCATAGTAATATTTCACTCTGACGTTTAACTTAGCAAGTGAGTATAAAGTCATCCTGGATTTCAAGTCATTTGACATGAGAATGGAAATGTGACATTTTCTTAAAGTTAGTTTTCATCTTCTGTAACATCTAACTCTTCATCATCTTCATCATCTACTTCTTGATCCTTTCTTGTTCGACAAGTGGCTATCTGTTAAAAATCAACACATTGAAAAATAAAATGTTTTTACGTGTTCAGCACCTTTTTACGTGTTCTTACAGGTAAGGGAATACAGAACAATTATTTCAGAGAATGACTAAATTCCCTGTGAATTTTTAGTTGAAGTCTCTACCAATGTATATGGGGTTAGCCATAAGTTCAGTAGTATGCTTCAGTAACACAAAATACCATTACTATGTATTGTAAATTGAATGTTAAAGTAGGCTAAACAATCCCTGGAATATTTGAATGAGAATCATCAAAATGGATAGTAAAAGCAGATTATGTCCATTAGACAGATAGCAACACTGACAAATGAGTCCAAAACCAGCTCACCAGCTAGACATCTTACTCTTAAGATATCCAAGGGAAAACTTCTCTGAGGCTGATTTATACCATCCAGGAGACACTGGGCAATGTTTGGACACCAGAGATGGTCACATTGTGGATGTGTGTTGCTAGGGACAGATGTTGCTTTACGGTATAAATACAGGCAGTATCTCCACCAACTTCCAGGTACCTGATCTCAAGTTAGCAGGGCTAAGTATTAAAAAATCATAGTATACAAGATTCTGAATTCTAAATAGAATTTAATATGGAATAGTGGAATATAAAGACTAAATTTATGGAATACATGTGTCAAGGCTAAAAATCTTAGAAATATAATTTTGCTGGGGGAAGAGTTGAATAAGAATAGAAAACAAACAATGCACAGAATCCAATGACAGGATGTTTTAACTTTAGCAATTTTACTTAAAACTGTATTTTGAGATTGTTTTATCCAGTTTTAAAATTCTGAGGCAATATTAGATTTTGGCACACCACAATTATGTTATGGCTTTGGCTGCTGATCTAAAGAGCTATGTGCCTGGGTCCATGAGCTATGCTTAGAAAAGGCCACTTTGAGGTACAATTTCTACCCAGATTAATTAAGCTCACTCACTTTAGAGTTTGTGCTCATGTCAGACACAGCAAATCTAGATAAGCATTATTCTGTCTTTCCATCTGTTTCTTTAGGGTTCTGCCTCAGGAAGTAAAGTGTGATTATTGAAACTCTGCATCATTTTCAGAGGAAGAACCACGGCTGGAGATAGTACGTCATATGTGGTCACAAGGGAAGCCCTTTTACTACTGAACAGTTCCAAAGGCAACAATTCAAGTTCCTTTCCAGTTTATTTTTTATTTTTATTTTTTTAGCTCACCTGCCCAGATCCAGTTGTGCACTTAGTTGAAAGTGATCTCTGAAGAGGTGACTTTGAATTTGCTCTTACAATATCTAAACGAGATGGATAATCTGGTAGATACAGAGAATTTCGGAAAACCTATTGCAATATAAAACAACATTATAAAGTAGATACTAAATGAACATCTAGATAAACAACTTACATTATTAGAGTTATTGTAAACTAACGAAAAATTACAAATGTAGTCAAATCGGAAGAGTAAAAACTTGTACTAGACCCATGCAGACTGGTAAAAGTGCACAGTAGCCATGAAATCCTCTAGCGGAGGCCGCTGCAAACAGTGTGCTCTGTTTGCCTTTGCTTGTTTTCTCGCCCATGCTCAGCGGTTACCGACCTCACCGCAGGAGTGCCCCTGTGCACAGTGCCCTCTGGAGCCACCCAACCGCACATGGGCACCAGCAGCATTAGAATCTGACTCGCCAGTACTCTCAACTGCTGTCAGGGTTTCTCAAGCCTTCCTGTCTCTGACACTTAGCCCATATTCCTAACACAGATGAGGAGTCATTAGGTGTGAATTTCAAACACCTCCCTACAAACGCTTTATTCTACCTTTTTTATAAAGCAAACGTTCTAATTGTCTCCAACGTGTATTTTTCTTTCATTCTCAAAACTTTAACAAAGATTTTGATTTCCACAGGTTCTCCCTAGATAAGTGGTTCTCAACTTTCCTAATGTTGCTACCTTTAATACAGTTCCTGATGCGGTGACCCCAAACCTTTCTACTCTATAACTGTAATTTTGCTAGTGTTATGAATTATAATGTGAATATCTGTTTTCTGATGGTCTTAGTTGTGAACTCCATCCCCAACGTTGTGACCTATAGGTTGAGAACCTCTGGGCTAGAAACAAGCATCTCCTCAGTCTTTTTCTTATTTTCATTATTTCAAGGTGTAAGTTAAAACACCTGATCAGTTACTTTACCTCACCTCCTCCCCCACAGACTAGAATTACACTTATCCCACAAGCGCTGCTCACCGGAATCCTTAAGTCTTTATCTTCCCTGACCCCAGCTTTCCTTTCTTTCATGCCATCACAAATCATTGCTAGTTGGCTGGCCTCTTCCATTGCTTCATCTGTTCACAGCCACAGCACAGAGAAAGAGCCTGCCTCTGCTGCTTACATCTTATACATGTTTTAAGGGTTTTAGTTGCTTAATGTTTCTTTTCTCTGCAGTGTTTTTTTTTTTTTTTTAAATGTTGGATGAATTGTTTTTTGTATTACGTATATAATATCTGCATGTGTGCCTTCACATCAGAAGAGGGCACCAGATCTCATTATAGATGGTTGTGAGCCACCATGTGGTTTCTGGGAATTGAACTCAGGACCTCTGGAAGAGCAGACAGTGCTCTAAACCTCTGAGCCATCTCTTCAGCCCCTCTGCAGTGTTTTAATGTCAACTAATGATTTTCTGTGTAATTCAGATGCTGTGTTTGGACAGCTACATGCATTTTCCCATCTACCTTCTATTATAGACTATCACTGTGTAATAACATGTTCTGAGAAAAAGGAAATGTTTGATGTGCAGAGTTTCCTGGCTATGTGTGGCTGGTAGCCACTTGGAATGGTTTGTGTGTAATTTTGATTTTTTTTTTTTCCAATACTAAGATAGCTTTATAATGAAAGGCTTTCTACCTAGCAATATGGATATTCTACTTAATTCCTTACTTGAAGTACTTCTAAATACTGATTCTACATACCTTTCTTTATAGTCTACATAATCTCATATTACTGCAGACAAAATATTCTCAACTAAACCCCCTTTTTTGGCTTTTATCTACCAGAGTCATATTTTAGGTAATCTTCAAAGACCTAATGTCACTCAGACTTATCTGACACCCTTTATTTGAAATGATGATATACTGTGTTTCTTAAATGCTGGTTTCTCAGTAGGATATCTCATCAGTCCTTAAAAGCCAAGTCAAATGCTCTCTTTCCCCATTCAGTAGCCAGCAGTGCCTGTTCTTATTCTTGACCGTAACTGTAATGTTACTATTTTTGACCAGATGACTCCATGCCTAGCTATAAGTTCCTCTAGTGAAAGGAACCCTGCTTTATCTTTGCAACTCTTCCAAAGAAATGGTGCCAATTAATTCGCTTTTGCCCAATGAGTGCTACACATGAGTGCTACACAAAAACATCCATTTTGTGGAAAAAATAAACCAAACTAAGGGCTGTTCTCACACATTTCTGTAAGCCAATGGTTCTCAAGCTTCCTAATGCTGTGACCCTTTAATACAGTTCCTCATGTTGTGGTGACCCCCAACTATAAAATTATTTTGCTGCTACTTCAGAACCATAAATTTGCTATGGTTATGAATCATAATGTAAATTACTGTTTTCCGATGGTCTTAGGTGATCCCTGTGAAAGGGCTGTTTGATCCCCAAAGGGGTCATGAATCCCAAGTTGAGAACTGCTGTTGTAAGCCTTCCAGTAGTGCAGGGTACAAGTAGAATCAAGGGATTCAATTTAGGATATAAGAACTGTATTTTAGGAGTGTTCAAGGATAATTAGGGTGGCAGATTTAACTTGGAGGTCAGTGAGCACTGACATCCAGGTATAACAGATGGGTGGTTCATGGGCACCTGTATTGAGGGAATATATTTTTGTTTGAACATTCCTGTGTAAACTTTTCTAGTGAAGAAAAATAACGTGATATAGAATCCTTGAGATAAACATTTAAACCATATTAAAATGAACCCTTTTGGTAAAATAAGTGTTTTGGCAATGTATTTTTCAACATGATCAAGTAATCATAAGCTCCGGTTATGCATAGAAATTATTTTTGAAGGAGAAATGGGCCTGAGCTATTTGAAGAACAAGATGGTTTGTAGTAAGTGCAAAAAGTTAGCTGCTGCTTGCTATAATTCTTATAAAGTATGACTATGAAGAAAACCAGGTTATGTCCTCTTCATTTTCTTATTTTCAAGAAATTTTTCGGTTATATGAACACCTTTCATATTTCCTCTGGTCCTAGAGTCACAGATGCCAGGTGTTACAATAGAGGGGTTCAGGGTTGTGTTTCCATTCATTCTATGCTAAATATTTAAAGAACACTGTTCTTTATTCACAATGGCCTCAGAACCTTTGTATAATCTATGCCATCATAAAAGTTTGGCTAGGCATTCTCATCTCTAGCCTTTTTGGCTTCTTTTTGGCTTTAAGACTGGAACCTTCCATCACACACACACACACACACTGATTGCATTATAAAATTTTAATACTACTAGAATTTTTGTTTTCTTCTCTGATATCACTGGTAGATTGTAATTTGCCTTGACAAGATAGACTACTTCTTACGTATAATCCCAGCACTTAGAATAGTGCTTGGCTTAATAGGCGCTGCAGTTGCTCAGACATCTGAGGAGGTAAGTAGCATAACTTCCATTTTATCACAACGACGAAGTCTGGTCAGTACTATTCCACTGGAATGTATAAGAAGATGTTCAGGAATACAAAAGCAGTGGTAAGTTATAAAGAGTGTAGTGGGACATATCTAGGGCCTCTGGAATGAGGTGAAAATCTTAAGGACCAACAAACTTAACTTGAATATCAGTTCACAGCAGGAATGATGGGAAAAGGAGACTGACGCTTGTAAAGGGGACTCCAGATTTGCAGGAAAAGTACAGGGGTCACTTGAACCTGCTACTAAATGCAGGTTTGTTTGTTTGGTTTTTTTTCCTTGCAGGAAATGCTGCAAGTCATTCACACTCAACTGTAGTTGTAGCCTTATGTACAAAGCATTAAGATCAGTGTTGTAATAGACTTTTAGAGTTGACTTCCCCCATGCTACTAACTAGCTATTAGACCTCTGGGAAATTTCTTTACTGTGTTTCAGTTTTCTCATCCTTAGAGTGAGGAGGTAAGTGTTTAAAGTTGGTGGATTAATTAGCATAGTTAAAATACATAGATCTGTTCAAAGCAATGATTACATAAATACTTGTTATTTTCTAATTGTCATGTAAACATTCAATAGTTTTTTTAAAAAAGAAAACATGGAAAGGAGTGAGAATGAAATGTTAGCTTGAGTACTTGAAAGTGACAGTCATCTGTTAACAGGAAAACTACAACAGATCACGTACAAAAACGTACAACTCAGAAAACATACAACTCAGTATCAGAGTTATTTGGTTTACACACGATAACATGGATTATTACCCACATAAACTAAAGCTCTTAAATATCTCCACAATAATAGAACTGAGTTTAAATGAAGGCCTACCTCTAGATCTTCATCCTCATCAATCTTCTGTATATTTTGGTAGGCAGCAGTGAAGACCTCTAAAGCTTTGCCATGAAATAACATTTCAATTGTTATAAACTCCGAAAATATGTTCTGAAAAACACAAAGTTTGAACTTTAAAGTCATTTAAGTTGTTTTATGTATTCATGAGTTTATTGTAGAACCACTGAGTTTTATATTCTCCATTATATAGTCTTAATGTTTTGTGTTACTAAAACCTAGGAGTCAGTTTTTCAACAGGACAGACATAACAAAAAATATTTGTGAAGACTTTCAGCAAAAATTTAAATTGTGAAAAATGTCGCCTTAACCACTATTCAATTCTCTCTCTTTCCTTTTAAAATTTTGTTTTTCTTTATACATGATAGCTGATACTTGGATGAAAAAAGTGACTAAAATGTACACACCTCCATACTCCAATACTACACGCCTATAAATGTGGTAAAATTTTAAAACATTTTAGTGACTTCAGCTGATGTAAGAGAAGACTGACCAGCAGCACTTGTTACTGTATGATGAGCATCACGGGCAGCTACACTGCTCTAGCACGTACAACTGAGTATCAGAGTCCAAAGCACTGTGTTTAGTACCTAAACATCTCCAGAGATACACAGGGATACCTGAAGAGACCCAGTGGCCTCTGACGAGGACTAGGGATTAATTCCTTCATTTTCAGTGTTCCTAATATAGGGTCAAAAACATCCATAAAAGAATGTGCTACTGTTTAAGGGCAGGGTGAGATCATTAAGACTCCAGGAAAATCGAAACATTTTCAACAAAGGTGCCTGCCAAAGCCATTCACAGAGTATATAAAAAGAATGACACTAACCCCTGAACTCATACAATGCAAAAGTAAGTGCATCACTGACTTTTTATGAATAAAAATGATAAAATTATTAGTGGAAAGCTGAGAGAAATCACTACCTGATTTGACAGTGGAGTCTCAGCTGTAACACTGAACCACAAGCAACAAAAGAACCTGAAAAGATGTCACTAAAATTGAAAATATGTGTTCACATTGATGCCATCAAGAAAGCAAAGACAGCAGATAATGTGAAAACAAAACAAAACAATGACGTCCACTGGAACTTGTGTCTAGAACGTGATTAAAAACAACCCTTACACCCAGTAGCAAAGACCACCTAACTGAAACAATGGAGAAAGACTTGAATGGGCATTTCTCCAAGGAAAATATACACAAATGGTCAGTAAACATTGAGGTTTTCAAATCAAACCCACAATGATATACTACTGTATAAACACCAGTATGGCTACAACAAGAGTTTTTTACTAGGAACAAAGTACTGAGGAGTCAAAGGAATATGAACCATTATACAATGTTAGGAAGGCTGTACAATTACAAAGCTACCTTAAACAGACTGGCAATTCCTCAAATAGTTAAACATTTACTGAATGACCCAGCAATTTCATTCATATATATGATATGTGAAAATATATTTCCACACAAGAATGTGTAATATGAATGTTTAAATTAAACTTATAGCCAAATGGTGGAAACAAAGTAGACATTAACTGATTAATGGATAGACAATATTGTATGATCATATTTATTTGGTCAAAACCAATGAAATAGTGATGCTTGCTACAATATGGATAAGCCTGCAAATATGCTGAGAAATAAATGACAAAATATTATTTCATGGTGAAATGTCCAGACTCACCCCATCCATAGAGACAAGATTAATGGTCTCTTGGGCTAGTAAGCAGGCAGAAAGGTAAAGCTAAAGGGTACAAGGTTTAGGTGGTGAAAATGTTCCCAAAGTGCTATGGTCGCACATAACTTAAGCAGCAGTCAGTTGTATACTTTTGATTTATATCTGCTTCTTCACAGGTGAAGTTTCTCCTGCTCCTTTCTCCTTGGAAACGTCAAGAGACTTTTTCAAGAAGGACAGTATTGCAACAAGGAGAGGAACTTGGACACACTCTGTAGCTCCTCCATCTATTTCAGAGAATCTCTGGAAGCAGTCACTAAAGCTAGAAATTCTGCACTTACTTTCTTTGCTCCAGTTTTGTACTCAGTATTGAGCAGGAAATTTATAATACCTTAGAGGTAGATGGGATACATAAGGAAACCCAAAGATCATAGATTACATGTGAAAAACATTTGCAGGTCTGAGGAAGGGTTAACTGTTAAGCGGCAAGGGAATAATTCTTGATTCTCATTGTCAGATTAATGTTAATTTTCTTAGAACTCTTAACCCCGAATTTGACAGAAAATGTCAGCAGCTGTAGAACTTCATATCTCCCCATATTCTCCCAGCTTGGAAAGATGTTTATTTCAGAACTGCCTTTTTAAACACTGAGCAGTATTTGCACAGCTTTTATGTAGCACAGTGCAAAGCCTGAGACTTAATTCAGAGGCCAAAGTTCTGAAATGTTTTGAAGCTATGATTAGGAAATCTTCAAACGAATTGCTTTCAGAGATGGATTTCCTAGTTCAACTATCACATAGTTCTTATTTTATTGGTAATATAGCAAAATACAAAATTAAAAAAAAAAACTGTTACAGGAAAATTTGCAGTGAGTTAAAAAAGTCCTTAATTTTTATTTGCATATAAAATGATCATTAAGCAATATTTAAGATCTTTCAAAGACACCTAAAACACTGTTGTCAAAGACCTGTAGAAAAGTCAAATCTGCATGTTTCTCACATAATAAAGGCAATTGTGAATATTTAAACCAAATTAGTTTATCATTGTGGATACAAATTTATGTTAATTTCCTAGTTAGGGGTTTCTATTGCTGTGATAAACACCATGACCAAAGCAAGATTGGTAGGAAAGGGTTTATTTGGCTCCCACTTTTACATCTTAGTCCATTATTGAAGTTGGCAGGAACTAAGGGCAGGAACCTGAAGGCATGAGCTGATGCAGAGGCCATGGAGAGGTAATGCTTACTGGCTTGCTCATCATGACTTGCTCAGCCTGCTTCCTTACAGAGCCCAGGACCACCGCCCAGGGATGGCACCACCCACAATGGGCTGGGATCTTCCATTAATCACTAAGAAAATGCCGTACAGCAGGATCTTAAGGAGTCATTTTCTTAATTGCGTTTCCCTTCTTTCCAATGACTAGCGTGTATCAAGATGACATAAAACTGGCCAGCACAATTACATCCTTGAAAGTAATGTAGCTATTTATTTTAGGCTATAGATATTATTATCATAATAGATAATATTACTATAATGGAAATCACAAATTAAAAAACAACTGGTTTATACTTCATATTTTCAGTTGGGGTTCTCTGACAAAGTTACGTTGTACATCAGCTTATTTTTAGTAACTAATTTCAACAGAGGAATGGATGCAGAAACTGTGGCACATTTACACAGTGGAATACTACTCAGCTATTAAAATCATGAAATTTTCAGACAAATGGATGGGACTAGAAAAGGTTATCCTGAGTGAGGTAACCCAGAAACAAAAAGACAAACATGGTATATACTCACTTGTAAGTAGATATTAGCCATATAATATAGGATAACCATACTAAAATCTACAGACCTAAAGAAGCTAAGTAACAAGGAGGACCCTAGGGAGGATGTTTGAATTTCATTCAGAATGATAAGCAGGATAGTCACCAGAAGTGGTGAAAGAGAGGGAACAGGAAGGGAGCCTACCATAGATGTTGTCTGAAGGGCTCCACCCAACGGGATCGAAGCAGATGCTAAGATTCACAGCCAAACTTTGGGCAGCACGCAGGGAGTCTTATGGAAGAAAGGGGGATAGAAAACCACGGAGGGGACAAAGAGCCCCACAAAGAGACCACAAAGCTAAAAAGTCTGAGCCCAGGGGGTCCAGCAAAAACTGATGCACCAACCAAGTACCATGCATGGAGAGGACCTGCTCAGATGTAGCCCAGAGGCAGCTCAGTCTCCATGTGGGTTTCCGACAAAGGGGAGCAGGGGATGCCTCTGTCATGAACTTGGTTACCTGCTCTTTGATCACCTCCCCCTGGCGATGCAGCCTTGCTAGGCCATAGAGAAAGAGGATCCAGGCTGTCCGGATGAGACTTGATAAGCTAGGGGCAGATGGCAGGGGAGGAGACCCCCTTTCAGTGGATTAGGGGAAGGGGATGGGGGAAAGAGGGAAGGAAGGTGGGACTGGGAGGAGTTGAGGGAGGGGGACAGGGTAACAGAATGGATGCAAAGGCGGGATCCATCATTCTGTTGTACACAAGGACATCACCAGCAAAGACAGACAGTATCTCAGTGTAAAAGGATAAAAAAAGATTTTTCAAGCAAGTGGACCCAATAAGCAAGCAGATATAGCCAATTTAATATCTAACAAAATAGACTTTCAATCAAAATTATTCAAAAAAGTTGGAGAAGGACACTTCCTACTCATCAAAGGAAAAATCCACCAAGATGACATCTCAATACTGAATATCTATGCCCCATATGCAAGAGCACCCACAGTTGTAAAAGAAACATTACTAAAGCTTAAATCACACATCAAACCCCACATGTTAATAGTGGGGGACATCAACACCCCACTCTCACCAATAGGCAGATCATCAAGGCAGAAACTAAACAGAAATAATGGAACAAATAGACATTTGACTCAAATGGGCCTAACATATCTACAGAATATTTTACCGAATGTAGAAGAATATATCTTTGTCTCAGCATTTCACGGAACTTTCTCCAAAATAAACCATATATTTTGTCATACAGCAAGGCGAGTCTCAACAGATACAAGGAAATTGAAATAACCCCCTGTATCTTACCTGACCACTATGGATTAAAGCTGGACTTCAACAACAATAGAAAGAACCGGATGCCTACAAATTCATGGAAAATGAGCAGTTATCTACTCAATGACCACTGGATTAGGAAAGAAATTGAAGACTTTCTAGAATTCAATGAAAATGAAGACAAACTTATGGGACACAATGAAAGCAATGTTAAAAGTAAAATTCATAGCACTGAGTGCCTTCATAAAGAAATTAGTGAGATCTCAAACTTAAAATTTAACACATACCTGAAAACTCAAAGCAAAAGAAACAAACATATCCTGACGAAGTACAGGGTAGGAAAAAGACTCAGGGCTGAAATCGGTAAAATAGATACA